CTTAAATTTTTAGGGTCGGAAAGATCATCTTCGTAACAAGATGATAATGTCCAACAAGAAGTTGAAGGGAAAACCGATTCGATTTGGGGGATGCTGGTGATTTTCCAAGTTCACGTGGCACATGAATGTTATCGGATTATTAATTTTTAAGTGTCGTTACTCGGCTAGTGGTATTAGTTAAATGTTTAAGATTTTAATTAAGTAATATGTGAAGAGTATGGTCAACTATTTTGGTATGTAGTAGTTTGACCCACCATCCTTGCAAACCATGTGATCCACGATATATTTCTAATGTTCTCGCATATGCATGATGTTTAAATTAAATTAGGTAGTACGATGTAATCCTTTGTTTTGTAATGTATTTATGTTATGTGGCTGTCTTATATTTTATTACAGATTGTTCTAAAATAAAATAAATTTTGACCACACACATATATTCGAAAAGTAATGTCTTTAAAAATTAAGGATAAATTATTTAGAATCATTACAAGTATTGAAAATTTTTAATCAAAAATAATGTACAGTCTTACAATGAAAAACATAGGTAGAATTCACTTTGTTGTATTATATTATTTAGAATACAATTTGTGTTACAAAAATAATTTGGATAAAAACCGAAATCCAATCCAATCCAATCTAAACTGAATTATCAATTCGGATTGGATCGTAACTATAAATCGTATCGGATCGGATTGAGATTTTTTGGAAATTCGGATTTTCGGATTAGATCGGATTGACCCTAATTGGATCCAGTACAAACCGAAAACCGAATTGTAAAATTAAGCTTGTATATTTTGAACTTTAGCTCAAATACTTACTACTGCATAAAATAAATTAGAGAGACTTTGCAGTAATTAATTAATGACTTGACGTTGAACTATTTATTTTAATCGTGATTTTGAAGACTTTTATTTATAGTAAAGCTTTCTTATTGTATGAAGGCGCTTATAAATAATGTATTATAATTCGGATTTTTGGATCTGATCCAAATAACTGAATTTTAAATCGGATTGGATCGGATTGGATCAAAGAGAGAAATTCTGATCTGATCGGATTGGAAAATTAAAAATCTGATCGGATTTGAACTAAATCCAAACCGAAAACCGAACGGACACCCCTACCGTTCACCCTCACACATCCTCAATGCAGAGTTGTTGTCCAAAAAATCTTTTCCTAAGCAATACTTTTGTACTAAGGTTCAGACATTGAAGAAGGGGACTACCCTTCCCTACCTACATAGACTTTTGTACTACGAAATTTGTTGTTTATTGCACTACTACTCCACCCAAATGTCATAGGTCACACTTTGGACTGTACATGACCTAGAAGCCATGGACAGATCGGGGGTTGTTGTAACATTTTATTAATTATATACAATACGAAACTTGATGGAGTATCAAACAATTTATAAAATCCAAAAAAAAAAATATAAAATGAGTGACATTTTTTTTATCATATTTTTTAATTTATAACATAATATTAATTACCGAAGTCCCCAAAAATTTGAAAAAAAATATAATTTAAGAGAAACTCGCTCGCAACACATAATACACTCAATTGTAGTTTATTTATATAATTTTGAAAGAGGCCTATAAATTTCGACTCCTAAAGCTGTAAAGTAAGGAAATAAGTATATAAATTAATGGTCTTAATAAATCATATTTTCATAACACATAAGGGGGTTTCAACTGGAAATTGATGTTCATACTAGGTCCTACTTACAACGGCAAGGCGCACAAATTCATTAGAATTCCGATTCTCTATGTTGACCCAAAAATATGTAACCTTGTCATATACATCAAATGATTTGACAACACATACCCAACAAGTACTTAAGCTTGCTTTGTAAAACTGAAACACAACTTTTATGGAGAGAGTAGTTGTAAAGTCAGTATTCTCGTTTCGTTTTTTTATTATAATTGTTTTTTTTAAGTTTTTTAGTTTTCGATAATACTAATAACTTTTTTTCATACAATTTTTTACTTTTGCGATAATGTTTAATCAATTAAAAATAAAATCATTTTGTTAAGACATATATACACACTTTATTTTCTACTCTTAAAAGTTATATTAATAATAACGCAGAACGTGCAGGCACAATATAACCTTAGATTTAAAACATAAAAATAAATAAATAAAGCCTCTTTTTTCTAAGTGTCACTAGCTCATCTAAGACATTGATATAGTTAGGTATAAAAGTTAAAGTTATATTTATTTTTGAATTAATACTATGAGTATAATTTATTTTATAAAAATATACAATAAACTTTTTTAAAAAGTTAATAACAACCGTGCATTGCACGGGACTTAAACTAGTTTCATATTAAGGCTCTCCATTCACAACTAGCAAATTTTTTTTTACTCTTTTTGATGTATTATTAGAATAACGTTTATCCTTGGTGATTATTCCTACTATGATACGATATTATGTTCTTATGAAATAAGGAATACCATCTCCTAAAATTAGGAAACATTATGTTCTTCAATATTTAATAATTAATGAATATTGAATAATAAATATTAATTATTAACGAAAATGATATATACTGCAATTCGGCGTGTTAGAGATATCGGAAAATATATGTGTGATATATTTTCCGTATATATCTTTTAAGAGAATAATATATTCAAGATATTTATGTTAAGATATTATTTGTATAAATATGATTAAGCAATACAAAAGTCATTCGTTCTCCCTAATATGTCACGGCGCAATTAGAGTTATTTGGCAATTAGGAAATATACTGCAATGTAATTGAGAATTAAATCATAAAGGGGTGGTACAAATTAACTTTTTAAAGAAGGAAAAAAAAATACTCCGTATAATTGTTTTTGTGAAATCATAATTAAACAAAGAGGAAAACATTACACACAAGGCATAGCAGATAAGATTCCTTGTGCATTTAATGAGTTTTGGATTATATGGCCACATCAATCAGCTTTTTTTGGACAAATCTCTGCAAATAAGATTTTTTGGAGAACATAGGCAGAAGATTTTACATCTCCCCATACTCATTTGATTGATGACTTAGTACTGCACACTTAAGATAATTCACTGAATTACCCTTTGTTATCATTACTATATATTTAGACAGTACTATTAACTCGTTATACAATACAGCTGTAATACTTCTAACTAAGTAGATCAAATCTGTTTTAATTTTTTTATTTTTTTAAGAATATTGATGTACCCTATCCACTTTTATGAAATGATTTAACTTATCCCCTGGAATTTGACAAAAGAACTATATCTTAGCACCCCTATAACTTCAATTATGAAAAGCAACAAGAGTTGTTTCATGAAAATAGTAATGCAGTATGTGATATACATTGGTCAATAACCACCCATCCTTAATTTAAGGGCACGCCAACCATGCATAAACAAAATATGTTTCACCAATACAAACTCAAATCCTTCCCAGCAAAAAGAGAACTTCATGCAGTCTAAACATCGTCCTATTAAAAGGTAAAAAATAGTCGTTGTGTGAATTCGTTGTCAAACTGTCAACTTAGGGCTTGGGCAAGGTAATAAAGTTTAATGAATATTGACGGTTATTTATAAATATTGGATAAAAAACCTTAGAAGCCTAACTCTTTAACAATGCAAAGTATCCTTATAAGGTTAAGGGCTTAAGGGTAAGAAAACATACAATACGCGACGTTAAAACTCGCTCAATTATCTTATTGAAGATGAACAATGATATATTAAGTTTCGAAATTAACTAACTACTATTTTGATAAGTAGTTTGACCTAACATCTAAATTGAAACTTGAGGAAGAATATATATATATATATATATATATGGACCAATCGAATGGATGGATGAATGAACAACAACATAAACAATAATAATAATAATAATAATAATAATAATAATAATAATAATAATAATAATAATAATAATAATAATAATAATAATAATAATTTCCATATATTTTATAATTATAAACATATAGTATATTTTGTAAATAGTTTAATATGTACATTTGTATATACACATATGTATAGTAATAAATAATCAAAGATCACTAATGAGTAGTTAAAAATCACTAATTAATAAGTTGAGTTCAGTTCAGTTAAGTTTAGTTCAGTTCAGTTAAGTTTAGTTCAGTTCAGTTCAGCGCTGAGTTCAGTCAATCGGAACAGGCCCTTAGAGTCACAACTCTACTATAATATTGTATTCCCTGAAGTCCTCATATATCTCATTATTTTTCATATAGGAAGATAAAGATAATTAATTAGGAAAAATAAAATCAATCACAGTACAGATAATTAATTAGGAAAAATAAAATCAATCTCTACTAATTAATTACGGGTCAGATTCGGTTCGGGTACTCTGTAGGTCGTGTCGTGGTCTGGTTCGGATATGATCTCAAAAACTAGGGTTAACTCGGATCAAGGGTTGGCTTCAGGTATGGTTAGGTTGGGATCGGGTCAACATTAGACGGGTTAGGGTTAGGTTCAGGTTTTAGGGTCGGTTTTTCGGATCGGGTTATCTTTTGATAGCTATAACTACACCCAACATTACCCAACCGTAATCGTATCGAGAATTAATTGAGTTAATTAAAACCTGCTAATTGATGAATTCAACTGCTCGACTTGTACCCAACAATACCCCGAGTTGTTCCAATTATTGCTCGACTTAATAGACTTAATATATTAGGAGTATCGGTACTATGATTAATAAATGTGCATCAAAATCTATACTATATAATCATCAAGGAGAATTGGAACATGTCAACTAAAAAATGTTTATGTCAAGAATGGAACTCGGGTTCATTAGAAAATAAATGAGATTGTTTTTATATTTGTTTTTTTTTGGTATAAACTATTTTCTTCATCTAAATCTATAGTGAAGGTGTTAAATATTATAAAATCAAATCCTAAGTAGCATTAAAGAATATTTATATTAACATATAGACCCGGGGCATCGCCCGGGCTAAACAGTATTAATACATATTAAAAGGCTTTCCTAAAAACGACAATGTGTCACGTATAGTTAACATAAGGATAATGAGGATCGATCCCTCAACCTCGTATAGTTAACAACAATACATTTTCTTCATCTAGTTCTTTTTTTGTTGCGCTAATATCTTATGAATAACACATTATTGAAAATAAAAAACATAAGGATAATGAGGATCGATCACTCGACCTCGTATAGTTAACAACAATAACCATTTCACCGTCTTAGTCAATTAACAAGTATGTAATAAAACCACAAGGTTCTATTAAAATAAAATATACTTAAAAAAATACCAAAAATAAAAACCAAACATAATAAAAATAAAATACTCAATTTTAGTTTAACTCTGACAACAATAATTTTACAAAGAATTTAAAATTATTATCGATTAGAACAGTAGCAACCTGGAGCAAGCGCGGGCTATTCATCATATAACTTGATGAATAAATTAGACATTAGTGCAACAAATTTTTGCCACGTGTGGGTGGCCCTATATAAGGACTTGATCTTGCTGACTTGTGATCTCCACACCAAATACTAAACCCTAACAAAACTCAAAAAAAATATCACTCCATGGCAAGCCACCTAAACCTTCAAAACTCCAACACCGGTGATGGAGACGATCACCGCGAAGGTGGTCGTCGCCGACCTGGTATCCCTCAGCCCACACCTCAGCCCAAACCCAAAAAAGAACTTTCAAAAATAAAACGTCAACGTGCCTTGCAAGCCAAGATTCTTGAGAGCATTCCATTTCATATGGAGCAACCACCATCTATTGAATCACTGGGTGCTAGAACTAGTGGAGCCACTGCTGGGGTGCCCACGGTGTTGGATATGCTACCTCAAGCCCCTCAACCTAAGAAAAATCGTCTTGAACATCAAGCTGTCATACCTTCTTTTTTGATAAGAGAAAATAAGGTTGAACCTAAGATTGAACCAACTGTTGGGGTTCGAAACCACCCACAACCTGTAACTAGTGTGGGAGATAACATCGCTCCACCCCCTCCTCCACCTATTCCAGAATTGAAGGATAAACAACTGCCAGATATAGACCTCAACGAGACCATACCAACTGAAAATGGTCAAGCGGTGGTCCTGTCAATCATTGTGAGGAGCTACACACTTGGTGATGTGGGTGTGATGTACAACATTCAAACTGATGAGACCTTCGAAGCTATCTACAAGGATTACGCATCTCGCATTGATGTCAAACCTGAGAAAATCAAGCTCTATAATGGCGGTACCCACATTCCATCCTCTACCTATCCCGAGCCATTCGGTGTTGATACTGGAAGTGTGCTTTATGTGCAAGGAATGGTAATCCCTCATGTCATTGTAATCCAATTTTTATTTTTTTATGCCAAGTATTTCAATGGTCTTACTACCCTATTTGCTGAAATGTGTATATGCCAAGTATATTTGACTTTGTTTATAATTTTTAAAATTTATTTTTGCGTTGCCATAATTACATGTGATTAAAAAAGTATTGCTCTAGTAGCCGTCACTATTTAAAAAATATATTCGTGTCAAACCATAAATTAAATGAATTAATAGCAATAATTAGTATTAGTAATGTGTTTATAAGATCTGTGTTTGATTCTTGTATTAATTTCAATTAGTACATGTTTAGGTTAGAATAATTATTTTTTTTTAAAATAGTGTATGATTTACTTTACTATCCCTCACATGAAGTAATATTGTTATTGTTAAATGATTGATCACTTTAATAATGTATTATCTACACAATTATTTTACGGTCATTTTGTTTATAAATTTTACACAAAATACACAAATTTTAAGGTAGTATGAATGTAATTGCACTATGCGAATCATTGAATTAACAGTACAAGGAATCTTGCATGTTTCTTTCTACAAAAGTAGTGACATGTCCAGGGTACATCTATGCTAGGAGTGTCCCAAATTCACTAAATTTAATGTCACAGGGTTTTTTATTTCTTAATGAAAATTTAATGTCCAGTTATGGATTAATCTGCAACAATTTAGAGTATTTTTTTATCATCTCTCATAAGCAATTTTATCTATTTGGCATAAAGTCATTAACCATTGCCTATGCAGACTGGGGTGGTGAACACCAATACTAGGACCAAGAGATTCTATCTAAAGAACACCGGAAAGCGCAACAAGAAGAAGTTGAGGGTGCAAGGAAAGTTGGACTCCCCTCTGTATCGTCTTTTTCACATTTGGGGTGACAAGTTCGAAGTTGATCCGACGGATCTGGTGTTCTATCATGAGGACAAGCTGGTGTGCACACTTGAGACCATACGTGAAGTTGGAATTAAGAATGGAGACAAGGTGTATGTAGCTCCGCACAAGCTCGAGTGATTTTCGGGTCGGTAGGAGATGTGCTTTTGGATGGAAAATATGTGCACTAACACCATATGACTATCGTTAATGATTTCCATATAATTGCCACCACCTCTTTTGTTTATAATATATTAGTGGTTGGACTCTTGGAGGGTTATGTTGTTGCGGTTTGCAGTCAGTATTAGTAGTTATAGTTGCCTTATGGGCTTGTTTGCTAAACTTATCTGTGTGAAGCTATCATTTGATATGTTGTTAAGAACTTATGGTCATGGGGATTGGTAAGCTTGTTCACAATGACAGTGATCATGTTTTATGTTTATGAAGATTGAAGTTGCTATGTTAATTCTATTGTCTATGTTAACGATTCACCATGCCTTTATTTTATAATGTATATTTATAATGTCGATAGGCTGTGTAGAATGGCAAATTTTTAAATACATGATTAAATATGTGGTTTGATTATATAAGTGGTCCGATTAAATATGTGATTAAGTAAGGGGTCCATATAATTTTTAATTAACACAAGTAAGGGGTCCATATAATTTTTAATTACCACAAGTAATTAACACAACATTTAAAAAGCTTGAAGAACAACGAAGAACAATCTTTGATTTTGATTTTGATTTTGATTTTTGTAATTTAATGTTATTTTTGTATTTCATTAAAAACTAATTTCAATAAAATATTATCGAAATTAGATAGAAAAATAAAAGAATTTAGGAGGATTGAAAAATAAATAAAAATAGAAAAAATAAATGTAAAAAAGGGGTTTGACCAGATTTTACAAAATAGGAAAAATTAGGCAAATTAGTGGTGGTAATTATGAAGCTGACCACAGTAGAATTCCCAATTATAAAAAGCCTAGTCTTAAGATTAATACAAATAATAAAAACATTTTACATGATTAATATAATGTATCCGAATAATCGACACCCCTAATAACATCTAATATTATCTAGTCAAACAACCGACATGTTTGTGAAATAAATGTTATTAAAAGATGCTATAATAATGGGGGAGACTCCAAAATATTATTATAATAATAATAGTTGTAACCTAATATTAATGGGAGAGACTCCAAAAAATTTGTAAGGTTTGACAAATACGTGAATTGATTTAACAACACATGCACTGATGCACAACTAACTACTACAGCATGCCTTGTGAGACACAAGCACTTCTTTTTATTGACATAACAAGTTGTAAAACCAGTGTTGGATATTTTGCAAAATACGTCAACCTAATTGGATGATTTGGCTGAATAATGCAAAAAATCTTGTGAATAGAATACAATCAAAACAAATTCTTAATTATTACAACAATAAAAAATGTAATGGAAATGAGGTAGCCCATTGAATCTATGACATCCTATCAAATATATTTTTAGTAGACCTACAACTTCAAAAGTTAAAAGCAAGATCACTTGTTTCATGAAAATAGTAATGAAGACTGTGTGATATCCAGTGGTCAATAGCCACCTACCCTTAAATTATGGGCACGCCAAACATGCTAATGTTGAAACTTGCTTTCATCAAATAAACAACTAACCCATCCCAGCCAAATGAGAACTCCATGCAGTCTAAATATCACCCTATGATATTGTTAAAAAATATAATTCCAGCCAGTTGTTTGTCATACTCTCAACTTGGAGCTTGTGCAACGTCTAAAAGTCTACTACCTTTCCACTTATTGTACTAATATTCGGATTAATAATAAGTTACACAGCTCTAATGTGTGAAATTCTAAGTTATCCCAAAATTGTTTAAAATAAAAAAGGATACATTACGCGATGTTAATAATTGTTAGTCTACTACCTTTACATTATCTTTTGTAAGATGAACAATCACATGAATAACTATATAATTTAACTAAATATTATTATTAGTCAACTGACCTAACATAAGTCATTAGACCTAAAAAGTAATTAAAACGACAATGTATACTTGTAAGAGCTACACTAACAGCATTATATATGTATATCACTAATTGTGATGGTTAATTTAGAAATAAAGCAATTTAATTTAAATACTATTAAGGACTATGAAGAAGCACTTTTATGTGTTGTTGATTGGAGTTAGAATGCTAGGTATTGAATAAGGTTGGATGTTATTGTTGACTTTGGAATATTATTATTAATGGTAGATGTTAGAGTTTGTATATTATGCATTGAAAAAGACTAATTGGTGTTGGAGTTATGGGTGACTAATGTTGAATTTTAAATGATATTTATTGTAGTTTGACCAAGCTTGAAATTTGTGTTGATGGTGTTCATTTGGGTATAAAAACCGGCTAGGCAATTGTTGTTGTGTGCATAAATAAGTGAATTATAGATTTGTGATGACTAGTAGAGGTGGTGGGCGTGGTTGTAAGCCATTTGTGCAAGGGTCTCGGGAAACAATTGTTGAAACACATAAGTGGTTGAATGATATGGCAATCGATTGGGAAGGGATTTTTTTTAAATTTGTGTTCTCTAAATCATATCATGCGGAGGGAATTATTGTATGTTTTTCTAAAAGTTTGTGTACATAGCTATTCTTTTTATTGGATTAATGATTTTTGTTGTGGTCTTAATTCATCTTTTTTGAATTGCTGCAGAATGTTCCGTTGGACTTTTCTAAAGCACACTTTGGCTTGTTTCCAAAATCAACGAATGTTGTTGTACAACTTTATGATACTCGATTTGATGCTCAGTTGAAAATCAAGAGGCGTGATGAAAAGCTTATTCAATGTTTCATAAAAAATGGAGTAGATGCTGCGATTGACTACTATGAAATACAAATTGGTGAAGGAGCGATAATTAGTTATTTTCAAGAAAATCCTATAGTATTTGATGTTACACTACAATTGAGTGCTGATTATTAAGGTATTGTGTTGGTTGAATAATAACCTCTTATAGTGTGAATGAGAGTGCTATTATTAGCTATGTGTGTTATGAAATCCCATTTGAATAAGTTTAGTGTTATGGAAAGTAAGATTTTAATAAGCAAAGTAATATTTGAACCCGTGAATGACCCGACTTAAGTATATCCCTAACAACACCTCAAAATATTCAATAAAACCGAACTCGACACCCAAATTTTTGTAACACCCATATTCCACTATGCCGACTTTACCCTTAGTAAAGGGGGCGAAATGACGCTCATAACCTCTTATGAACGAAATTCGTTCATAAAGCTGATGAACGAGGATTTTCTCATTTTTTTTCCTAGAATAAACGAACATATAATACATTACAATAATAATGTACTACTCGTCTACTCCATATCATTTTGGAGTGAGTCTGAGCGCATAGCACCTATGGGCGAGTTATGTAAATAGGAGGGTAAGGAAGTAATTTCTGAATAAGTTGACTCTCTAGTGGTACATTATAATGCACCATTATGCATGTATAATGTACCATTAAAGTAAAATTTGTCTGAATAGTACGTTTTGTGGACTATTACGAGTGTAGTGGTACTTTTTACCATCCTATAACTTTCAATTTCTTGAAAAAACTGACTCTCTAATGGTACATATAATGTACCATTATGCATGAATAATGTACCAATAAAATATAAGTTATCTGAATAGTACTTTTTAATTGCAATATTGTCATCCTATATGCTTAGAAATCAATAGGCGCTATGCGCCAAGACTTAAACATCATTTTGTATCATATTTTTTTCTTTGGAAGTTTTTTTATTTTTTATTTTTTACTCTCTTTAACTTTTATTAAAAAATATATATATTTGTTGATTTATTTATAATAATAACAAGTTTTTTTTTTCTTTTAGTGAAACCTCAAAATGTTTTAAAATTTGTTATATTAGTGGTGGGACAAATCTTTTATGGTTTATTGCTGTGCAATCAAATTCAAGAGTTTTTACTTCCTCAAACCCATATCTCTTTGACAATGACAATACATTACTTTATTGCATGGGAAATATGAAAAATAATTTGTTTGGATTATAGGGCAGGGGAAGGAGTTTTGATTTTTTATTTGTGTTTTTTTTTATTGTTTTCTGTTTAAGTAAAGGATATGAAATCATATTTAGTGTAATAATATATTTTAGGGATACATCTATCTTTACATCTATTTATCTATCTATCTATCTATCTATCTATCTATATACTATACTAAAAGAGAAGCGGATCAATGTGGAACTGCCAAATGTATGTTTCAGATTCGCTTCAATTAATATATTAAAACACTATAAAAAAATTGTAAGGAAGCACAAAAGATAAAGTAACTAAATTCAATATTTATGGTAAATAATTGAAAATAAATATATTACTCTATATTTTTATTTTGAATATGACATAATTAATATAATCTATTCATGTTTCAGAGTATTATTAACGTATGATAATCTTAGAGGTGTCAATTTTGAGTGTTTGAGTCGGCTTTGGCAAGGTCGGGTAATTTTGAGTGTTCGATTTATATCTTATATTTGTGGTACTAAATAAGATATGAAGTATTAAATAAGAAAAAGTTATGAAAAAATTTATGACAAGAGGATCAATGAGAGGTAATAACTGTCATTTGATTCATACATATATGCTATAATTTTAATATTCATTCATATTTATAAGAATACAGATCATAAAAAAATGCATTACCAACATCATAGATTACTTTATGATGAATTATGTCTTTCATTCATACCAAAATTATAATTCAATTGATTCTATTAAAGGCAAGGACATATTTCACATATTCAATATTAATAATTTTACATGACATTTATCATAATAGACGACATAATACTGTAGTAGGGATTATAGGTAAATTACTCCTACATCAAGTGACGATTGTGCAAACATAGGAACAGTTAAAGTAAGTTGAAATACGAAATTGGCATGTTATACTACTACTGCAAAAAGTAAGCTAACTAGATACATAGGTTTGGACCTATTTATTTAACTTGTCTTTATAGTACCCCAAATATAGTAGTCATTACCCTATTTCCCCAATTATCACAGTTCTTCCTATTTCCCCAATTTCTTCTTATCCTTCCTTGTCTTGTTTCCTCACAAACCCTCAACTCTCCGATTCCCCATGGAACCTGCTCTAGAAATACCTTACCCTTCTGGTTTCTACGCTGCAACGACAACTGAAAATGCCAAACATTGCTTCATGTACAACCCAAACCATGAACAAGAAATGAATTTCAACGACTTTGTCTATTTTATTAGCGAGGATGGAACTTTGACTGACAAGGTTGTTGAGTACGATGTTATCCGGAAAATTGTCTCCAACCCTAAAGGTGAGCAACACCGGAATGATAAGATGATGATGGTGAATGAGGATGGTGTGATTTTTCCGGCGCACTTACCACATATCGCTGATGTCGTTGGTAAGCCGGATGTTCAAGCTACAATTCGTGAGCTCGAAAAGGAAGATTATGTCGAGTATGAGGGTACAACCAAAATCATTCCGAAGTTATTGGTGGACAAGATGGATCCAAAACCAAAAATCCCAACGGCTGGTCCTATTTACTCCCTCGGGGTGGCTGGCTTTACTACCGAATTCGGCAGCTACACCGATGATGTAGTTTTTTTTAAGGTATAATGTGAAACCCCTTTGTCATTATTTATGAATTATTGCATTTATTGTTAAATTAATAATATTATTCGCTCAATTTAGGATGAATGTGTTATAGTTGGTCTGTTTATGCTGTAAATTATAGATAAATTTAATAAGCTGGTTCTTTAGGGCGTTTAAAAGATTTGTTTTGGAGTGTTATTTTTACTTATTTATCATATTTGGATCATATGTTCAGTAACCCATGAACATCATTGGTTAAACTATTAGTACAGTAAGGCTAATTCAATATTTATTTATAATTAAATTTCTAATTAGCTGTACAAATATTAAGGTATATTTACGCGTCAACGTGAATTTAAAAGGACTCATGGCCCAGTGTTTATGGCCCAAAGTTTGTGGCCCAATGAAATGTTAGACTTAAAGCATTTTTGAGATTGGGAGACTACATTAACTTTACATTATAATTTGTGGCCCAAATTGATTATAGAGAACTCATGGCCCAGTGTTTATGGCCCAAAGTTTATGGCCCACTGAATTGTTAGACTTAAAGCATTGTTATATGATTGTAACTGTACATTATCTTCACATTATAATTTGTGGCCCAAATTGAAAATTGAGAACTCTTGGCCCTGTGATTATGGCCCAGTAAATTGTTAGACTTAAAGCATTCTTATGATTGTAACTGTACATTATCTTCACAACATTATTTGTGGGCCAAATTTAATAAACACAGCTCATGGCCCAGTGCTTATGGCCCAAAGTTTATGGGCCAATGAAATTTTACACTTATAGCATTTTTAAGGTTGTGACTGTACAATATCTTCACACTATTCTTTGTGGCCCAAATTGAATATAAAGTACTAATGACCAGTGTTTATGGCCCAAACTGAAGGCCCCAATTGATAAGATACAACTCCTGTGCCAAAATGAATTAGGCCTTACACTTATTTAATGTTAATGTTCATAATTATATATATGTCATTAGCACTGTTTAAGCCCTTTATTTAATTACATAGTCTTCTAGCAAATGTGATACTTTGTGTGTCAGATGTGATCATTAAATGAGTTATTTGTGGGTTAAGTTGTTATATTGAAATCATGCCACAATATTATGTATGGGCTTTAGATTCAAATAGTGGCCCAAGAAATGCCAATTGAGGGAAGGCATTTAAAGATTAATAAAAACGGACCAATGAAATAGAAATCATGAGGCCCAATTTATTTCGGACCATTTATAGTGTTCAACCAGGTTACAAAATACCAAAAGTATATTGTCATCATATTTTGCATATAATATTTGCAGGTGAGGGCTCCTTTCACGAGGATTAACTACTCCGTTTTTAGGGACCAGTTCATCGAAGACGACCTGACAAGCCGTTACCAAGCTGTGAGCCTTCAGCCGAAGCTGGAAGCTAACAAGGAAAAGCTGAAGATTGGATCTGCTGTTGTGCTTTGGAATGGACGTAGGATCACAAGACCTTCTTTTGTGGAGCACTTTAAACAAATAGCTGCAACCCATAACCCGATCATGATGATAGTAACAGAGGTTGGTGCATCATCCACCAACTGTGAAAGGATCCTAGCAAAACTAGGAACAAATTTGTCGTATCGATTTGATGCTGGTGGTGGTATGCTGGGTGGGACTGTTATTTTCTGGAATCCCTGAGTGATGGATTTAGTGATGTTCTTAGCTGCTGATGACGAGAATGATAATCGTATTATGGGCACCTTCACTGCATTTAAGGTAGAACTCCATCATTTGTTAATAAGAGTCATTAATTAATTAGATAGTTGGACTAAACTTATTTATGTTCCATCTTTTCAAGATGATGAAGTCTAGTGAGAAGATCAACATAAACTAATGAAGCCGGGTGTTTGTGGTAATCTATGGAAAATAAGCCCTCATTAGGAGGGTATGGATATTTGTGTATTGGGATTGTAGTAGATCATTGGCTTGTTGTAGTGACAATTTGATCAGTTTGCTTATGTTGTTTAGACTTGGATTGAGTATTGTATGCCTTGTTTTAAGTATGACTTCCTGTACAACAACTTGCTTAATGTTTGGAGTGAAATATGTTATTATCTTGAAAAAGGTGTTATGTAACCACCATAAGCAAATAATGAACTTGCCCCACACTGTTATAAGTTTTGTTACACCATAATCAAATATTAAGATGATACGTAGATAATCCTAAACAATGTATTGGAATAAATTAAATTGGCCGCAGTGTAAGACACTTAAGCAATAACAGCTTGATACCCAGTAAGCAAAATCAGTTCAATCTATTAATGGGCCACAACGTAAAATTGACCACAAGCCCAATACGTTAGTTTTATATGTTATTTGTATACATGAATTTGGGAGTCCTGCATATTGAGATCAAATTCTGCCCAGTAGTCCACAAAGTAAAATTCTGCCCAGTCCACAACGTAGAAACCACAGGTACTACTTATACAAAATCAAAGTTTTTTAATAGTTGACGAGGGGCAGTACACCAACTAACAAACCCAATAAAAGTCAAAGAGGGATTTCATGAAAACAAAATAAGTCTGCCAACTAAAGAAATAAAAGTTTCTAATATTTGAGCTTGTGGTCAATTCAACATAGATAAATGACCATTTTCTAAACATGCCCATGGCAATGCTAAACATGACCTCAGAAGGCCTCAGAACGCCTCAGATGTAAATGACCAGTCCACTCCATTTCTTTGCAAAATGTCATCATGCGCTCCAACATCTGCGGGATAATCATATGCTGCAACATCTCCCACATACTCATAGTAGTCATCTATTGTGTTCTGGTTACGACTAATTTCAGTTTTTTTCCGCTTTGCCTGAGTAAAAATGAGTGTATTATAATAAATGTATTTGAATGGATAATAACCTCAAAACTATATGGATAATAAACATTCAATTGTAGAATAATAAATTTTCAACTCAACTTACAGGTAGCTTAGTGGGTACATCAGAACCAGCAACAGTTTTAATGTTGTGTTCTCCTTTTGCTGTAGCAGGCTTCTTCTTGTACCCAGTCTCTGCCAGGGATTTGGGCCTACCCTTGGGACGTCCTCGAGGTTTCTTCCGAGACACAGGATCCTTAAACACTACTGGCTTGGATACAGAGTTTGGAGTTGGGCATGACATGGGATTGTTTGATCCAATTTCTGATGGGGGTAACATTGTTCTTGGGAGGGTTGGAAGAGACGGTTGATTTTCAAGGTACTTTTCCCTGCTTTGTTGTACTTCCAAATGGATCCTTTTTAAAGAATTGACCACAAGGTCAAATGTTTCCTTGTCGGCTGGAATAGATGATGTAATTTCACATATGGGATCAAACTCCTGCATCAACTTGTTGTGACTCTGATATGTGGCATTATCAGTTGGGTCATGATAGGAAACCTTAACCCGAGTATGCTTCCGAGCCACATCTTTGCGCCACCTTTGAAGAACATACTTTGATGGAATATCAACAACCAAGTTTTGATCATAAACTCTAATTACATGCCTGCATAGAATACCAAACGTTTCAAACTTCCGGCAATCACAAGACACGTCCTTCGTAACGGTGTTAAAAATAACACAGTAAAATCGCCTCCGATCAGTAATCACTTCTTCACTTTTCCTTTCTGGAATAATCCAGACCCTGTCTTCAAGGATATATTGAATCAAGTTGTCATCCAACACACGCTCTTCCCTCCCAGAACAATGCATTAGTCGAGTACAGTCTGTCTGAATCTCCTGAAACTTAGTGTCAGTGTAAATTTTCTGGAAGAATTCCTCAATGTAAAATCCACTAACGAGACGCCTAAGATATTTGCGGCACCTAGCATCTGCTTCTTTTTCCGCTTTCACACGCCTCTCCATTGCTCTTTTGTACTTATCCGGGAATTCATATAGCTTTGTTTTCCTGTTTACAAAGCCGTCAAAGAAACTATTTATGCTTTCCACTCTTTGCGTAGTCTTCATCCCGGCCCAGAAATGCTCCTTCATAAAGGCTGGGACCCACATATGACGTTCCTCATACAATTCAGATAACCAGTCATTGTCAAGTAGGTTATACTCCGACAATAACTCATTCCATCTTCGCTCAAACTCCCCAACTGTGAAGCTCTCATAAATAAGAGTCTTAAGAGGACTCTTAAAATCATGGTACCTAAAACATTGGAAAATCATGACATAACACTTCAAAGGTACATGAATCTTTAAGAGGACTATCAAAGGTCACATTGGACACCAAAATTCGGGCAATATGACATTCATTTATGCCAAATGCAAAGCAAAGCATAGCATAATTTTAAGTCAACACATACATGACCTTAAGGCGTATAATGAGAATAGGTTAAGTTCAAATCATTCATGCCACATTCACATGACAGTTCATTCAAATCCACATAAACTAAGTTCAAAATTTCTGCAACTGAACAGAATTTACTGGTCATTTTATGTATGTGACCATAACATCAGAAAACAAATGCATATTCATAAGCGACAATGTCTGACTTTGGACATACATGAATAGAATTAATACTTAGTAAACACACACAATACAACTGATACTTACTAAACATACACAATATACTACTTACCCTTCACATTTTCCGAGCTTATCTGGTAATTTCTTCAGTATGTGCCAAATGCACCACCGATGCCGAGCATTGGGCATCACTTGTTCTAACGGCTTGCGCATAGCAGCGGCTTGATCAGTCAGAATAGCCCCGGGTTGTTTATTTCCCATGCATGACAGCCATTGCCTAAAAACCTAACGAAATGTGTCTGAATCCTCGTGTGAAACGAGTGCGCACCCCAACAATATAGATTGCCGGTGGTGATTAACCCCTACAAAGTTGGCAAAAGGGAGCTCATACTCATTAGTGAGATATGTGGCATCAAAACAAACCACGTCACCAAAATCTTCAAAAGCCACTCTACTCCGAGCATCAACCCACAATACGTCCTTCAAACGACCCTCTTCATCCAAGCGGTGTGCTTGATAAAAATTTTGATTATCCTCTTGCATCCGATCAAAGTACGCCATCATGGCCGCCGCATCACCACCTTCCATTTTCAACCGCTTCACCTTTTCCTTTTGCACTTCATGTTCAAGGTCCTTAACACTAGGGAGGTTGTCGATCCCGGTCTCAGTACCCATACACCCATGTATTTGCCTTACGGGGACACCTTCTTCGTAGAAATTCAACAGTTTCTTCCTTACATTCGATGTGTAATTTTTCATTCGATACTCCTTTACCAATTTAGCATCACTAGGTATAGGGGCATGGTTATCATGTTCTTTTCGCAATTTCCTAATAACCCACAACCCATCACTGTCAACCCCAGCGTATAACATGGCACCACAAAGACATTTCTTGGAGGTCCTTTTTGCCCGCTGCAACATATCTTCCCCAACTTCACCATTCACTAATCCACCTGTGCCACAAGCTTCCATAGACTTGGACCTTTTCTTCGCCTCCCTCTTTGCCCTCATATCAGGTGGACCATAACACTCACACCTCCATGTCGCCCCTCTCCGCTCCTTATCCTTCTTAGAAAAATTTGATGAAACTCTTGATACTCCAAAACCTTTCTGCTCGGCATACTCTTTGTAGTAAGTTTCTACATCTTCAAAAGATTTAAAAACCATCCCTAACCTAGGTGATTCCACATAACTGTACATGGTAACCATGTTGGTTGAGACAATTGTCTCCACTGTTTCAATCGTTTTAATTGGAGACATGGCAGCTAATCTGTCAGCAGAGTTTGGAACATTCAATGGCACAAGGTTAAGAGAGGGAAGACCAGTACCAACACCAGATGTTAATAATTGTCCCTCCTCAACATCAATGGCCAAACTCCAAACAGGCTCTCCCATTATTCCAGGATCACAATCTGATTCCATAACCACACTGCATTATAAAACTATACTATTAGATTTACATCAATTAACAAAACACTGTAATTCCATAACGAAACTGAGTACATTTCACTTCAAATTGCATACTTCTATAGCAGAACAAGGTAATTTCATAACCAAACTGAGTCAATTTCACTCCAAATTGCATACTTCTACAGCAGAATAACTATAAATAACACACAGTTGATATGTTGACTAACTCATGCAAATTGGCATTCATAAACATTGTAATGGTTACCAACATAAAGTATGAATGCCACTATAGAAACTGACAACATGATTTATGTAACTTTGAGCAGAGCAGCAGGGAATAATCACCAACACGCAATAGCAGATGCATAATTTGGTATTATCAAAACTCCAGTATAATTTAGCCGATTTGAATATTAGTTTTTACAAGTACAATGCAATCAAAGTTCAACACAATATTCCTAATTTACCTCTTCTTCACTTACTTCCAATTAGTTTCAGCAATTAAAAACCTAATTAACCCACATCATGAAATTGCCATTTCACTTTATTTTTATATAAATTCATAACAAAACAACTTCAATTCAACTTCAATTCACCACTTCACATGCTTATATTCAACAATTGCAAAAGACGACACCCAAGAACGACTTTCCAAAGATTAGGGTTTTCGAAAAACTAATGAAAACTTACCAATTCAGCTGGTACCAATGTCAGATTACGCTTAGGGGCATCAATTACGAATGTCGCATTAATTCAAACCTTTAAACCTTGAAAAATTTGGAGGGCAGAAGTAGAGAGCAAAGCCTGATGAGAGCAAACCACACGAAATCTGAGCTTTTTTTGGAGGAGAAGAAGAGTGCAGGAGAACGCAAAACGGGATGGGAATTGGAGTGTTGTTACCACGCTCAAACGGCCAAAATCTTCACAGTTAAGTGACATGTCAGATACAAAGAAGGATAATAATAAAATAATGACAGATGTTCAAATAATTTCGAAAATGCCATCTTATGAACATATTTCGTTCATAAGGCTTATGAACTGGGGGAAGCTCTCTGATAAGATTCCTTTACACTTTGTTTGGATAGGAAGAAATGAAAGGAAAAGAAGAGAAGAGAAATAAAGAGAGACAAAATCTCTTGTTTGGGTAAAAGATTAGGGGAAGGAATGGGAAGGAGAGAGAGGGATCCATTTTACCTCTCTCTATAATAACCATAATCTCTCCAAAATTGGAGAGATTTGGAGGGAAAATGAAGCTCACCTCCCCCTCCCTTTCTTTTCCCTTCCCTTCCTCTATTTTCCCTCCCCTTCTTTTCCTTCCTTCTTTGCTATCCAAACAAAGCGTAAGTGTTCTCTGTTTTCAAATGAAAATAGAGCTCATTTAGCTAACATCTACCCGAAAAACATAGCTCACAAGTCGCAACTACATATAGGTGGCTCATAGATCTTCATATTAAGTTATGCCAGTTTATTTCATCTTACAAAAAATACAACTAAGCCATATTATAGCTGGATAGTACATTTTTTTGGCAAGGATAGCTGGATAGTACTTCATATTTAGTCAAGTGGATAACATTTTGTAGAAAAAATTTGTTTGATTACAAAGGATGGAAATCAGATCTTTTCATTCATATGTAAAAGCTATTAGTACTAGTTTTCATTGAAAATGTTTTTCACGTAACGACACGAGCCATAGAGTAGTAGCAACATTATTGAAAGTTGAAACGGTCAAAGTTGAAATTTCTTGACACAAGGACCCTTTCGTTAATTTGGAGTTTGGACACATCACATCACACAAGTATAGGGACATGGCGTCGAAGGAACATCATATTTCAGTTTTAGCAATTCAGTTAAAAACATAGGAAGTTTGGTTTAAACTTCTGATGCATTAAATCATAGTACTCTTGGAAAAATCTACTTTGAAAATTTAGTTTGAATTATATGACATTAATCTACCAGGAATATATAAAGCTTTGACTGTTTGTCCTTATTTTAATGCATATTATGTTCAAGTATAAGCTGCCTACTGTAGGTTACAATTTTGCACAGAAATTAACTAAACCATATAGCAGCTAAACAGAATAGGATGTATTTGGTGTCAGAAACAGGTCTAAAGTCTTTCAAGCACTGAGCCTCGCGTATGCAGTTGCCTGCAGGTTAAATGTGCTCATAATTGACACTAACACCATTAACCTAAGCTGCAACAACAAATATCATATTACCAAGTGACAAAAAAAAGAGCAATAAATTTAACGATTTGGGATAATCCGATAGCCAGTGAAAAACATGAAGCAATAAACTGTTCTGTTCATTTCAACACATAATGGTTTCAGAATTATGATTTATCACAAAACAACAGAAATGGATTTGTGCTAAAATTGGTGGCCAGTATTAACACCAACAAGCTTGTAATATCAAAATTAGACAAATCATAATATTTTTCTATGCATAAGGAATCTAATACGTAGTGCTGAAAGTAGAATTGATCACGGAATTTGGAATTGAAGATAGGTGTGGCATAGGAGGAACTTGTATTGATTCAAGCGAACCTTCTAGCATTTCTATAACTTTGTCCATAGGTGGTCGATTTGAGGGGTATGATTGTATGCACCATAATCCCACCAAAATCATCTTTCTTTTTAACTCTTTCTCTTCCCCATTCATGATCCCATGTACCTCAAGGTCCAATTGACGGTATATCCATTCAGGAAAATACATTTCACTGCCCTGTTGAGCTTCAGCAATTACATTCCTTCGTCCACATACCAAGTCTAGGATCATCATTCCATAACTATAAACGTCTGATTTATTAGAAACGCCACCAAAATTATTTCTACAGAACACTTCTGGAGCAATATAACCAATTGTCCCTCTTGCTTCCGACATGGACACCAAACTATCCTTTGCAGGACACAGTCTAGCCAAGCCAAAGTCTGAAATCTTAGGACAGAATTCTTCATCAAGAAGAATATTATGAGGTTTGATATCAAAGTGTAAAATCCGTGCATTGCAGCCTCGATGCAAGTAGTCAAGCCCCTTAGCAATGCCAACTAAAATACTATACAAAGTTTTTGATGGCAAAGACTGGCAACTTGCTGCATCATATATGAACTTTTCAAGAGACCCATTTGGCAAAAACTCGTACACAAGAGCACGTTTATCTCCTTCAAAACAGAAACCTAAGAGGGTGACTACATTAACATGATTAGTTCTACCAATGCTTACAACCTCATTGATGAATTCTTCTCCATCACCTCTCAAACTCTTCAAGTTTTTTACAGCCACAAAGCGGCCATCATGTCCATCATGTAGTCTTCCTTTGAAAACAGCACCATAGCCTCCTTCCCCAAGTTTCACTTCAAAGTTATTGGTCATTTTTGTGATTTCTGAATATGTATATCTCTTTGGAGCAAGAGATCCATAGCTTTTCAGAAAGGCTTCTACATTTCGGTTCCTTGTGGTTGTTTTATTCCCCAAAATCTTAAATCCTTTTGATGCTCGCCTTCTTTTTGCGCACATAATGATAGAAACAATCAAAATAACCCCTAATGAAGAAGCTGTTGCAACTGTAGAACAGAGAAGTCAAATTTTAGGGTGTCAGTTTGGTTCACAGAAGAAGAAAAAAAAAATGGAAAGTGGAAATTCTTCTGGAGTTATACATGGGAAGTAGAAATTCTTAGGAATTTCCACTCCCCATTCCACTCCCCACAAAATGAAGGAACTTGGTGCTTGTTTGGTTGCCATTAAAAATTCAGGAATTGAAAATTATATGAGCTTGTTTTTAAATGGTAATTTACAAAACATGAAAATTTAAATACTTTTGTGTAAAAAAAAAAAAGAGAGAGAAAGAGAATTTAAATACCAACTCCCTTTAGTACTTTGAATTTTCTATGAATTGTAAATTCTTTGATACAAACCAAACAAAATACTTCGTATATAAATTCTCATGATTTTTATGTAGGAAGTAAATTCACATGAAATACAACTTCCTTTAGGAATTTAATTCCCGTGTGAATTAAATGAGCCCTTAATTTCTAGGGAGACTTAGATAAGTTGAACTTCCCATGGGAATTTCTACCTTTCATGTTTTTTTTTTATTTTTTTTTTTTTTGTACGAAATCTACCTTCCATGGTTAACCAAAACACTTTTTAGATTTTTCTAAGAAATCCAATTAGGAAATTGAATTTTCAAGGAATTTGCAATACCTAAATTCAACCATACAAGCCCATTAGTAAGCATTAATGCAATTAAACTTCCGGCATAAAGCAATTCTATGATTATTGTCTGTTATCTTATCTAATGTGGGACAATTTACCTCTGCAAAATTTGAATTCAACAACCTTTGTTCAAGTTCAATATGCTTTTCAATTTGAAAGGATTCACTTACCTAATCCCAGAATAAGTTGCAACCTCTTTCCTGCAAGAAAACATAGAAGGTTTAGCGTTTGCAAAATTGAAAATAAATTTTTTTTAAGTATATTAGATTTAAATAAAAGGAAAAAATTCGAAAATATAAACAGGTAATATGATGAGGATTTTTATGCTACCTTTTCGCTTTCTGATACACTGAGAATTATCATTCTTGAGTTCCTGACATTGACCTCCTTCGCTAATACACTGTGAACATTTGTCAGACAATTCTAGCATCAGATATTCCGGATACTGAAAATCATCGCAGCTAGAAAATTCGTTGCCATCATCTGAGTAACCATAACTTTTATAAATGATGTAATCTTGACAGACAAGTACACGACTGCTCTGTCTGCCCGTGCCACTCATACTGAAGTTCCTTCTACACTTCCAGAATGTTTCATTAGTTAAGATTGTGAAGACGAAAGTACTGGATTTCGGAAGGCTAATGGGCTCGCCTTCGAACTGAATGCATGTGTAAGAAGTCTGTTGCAAGTAGTCAGTTGCAAGGACACTTGTTTTAGTGGGAAAGGTATTCACAAATCCATACCAAGGTCCATTGGGTGATAAACCAATCGTCTGATATGAATCCGTACAATTGATCACCAAAATCCCACAGTCCGGGTAGAAGGCCGTGGTGAAGGGGTAACTGAAGGAACCATGTGTTCCACACTGAAAGGAAGATGGGCACAAATGCCCCTTTTGCTCATCAGCTGTGCATGTGATGAGTAGTACAAGCTGAGATAGAAGGGAAAACAGGGTAATAGCAGCCAATGACATCTGATCAAATACCCTTATCAACTTATTAAACCAGTAAAACCACACAGGATTTTGTGTCCATGCCAATATGAAAATGGTAGCTTTTCTTTATTGAGTTGATGAACGAAGAAAATTCAATGGGGGACCGGTCAATAATTGCAACAAAGACTTCATATTTGGATTTATTTTTTAAAAAGACATATTATCACCGGTAATCTAGAAATTAGGGATTATTCAACAATAATCCAACATTGGGCTATGTACATGAAGAATATTAAGAACAAGCGAGTTCATATTCTTGGTTTTCAATTTTTTAAAAGACTAGTCCTCCAAAGAATCAACAATGCTTAAAATTCAAAATTAAGAATGAAATATTAATTAATTTAAAGAATAATAATAATGCAGATTAGCACTTGTACCATAGAATCTATGTACATGAAGAATATTAAGCCTTTAGGCTTTAAGCACAGCTGAACACAAAAGTTCAACCTCAAATCTCATCTAGATTGATTCTACAACCATAACTACAGCCAATGATCAATTATTTCTAAAGATTACATATATACTAGGTGTACTAGTTAAAGCTAACTACTACCTAAAAGAATCGCCTACCAAATGAATTAAGAATTAAAAGAATTGAATGGTAGGTATAACAACTAATAACGTTGGAGAGAATATGGATTACATAATTTTGAGACCGCTAGGGCGTTTTCCTTCCATGGCATCTTTCTTGTCTCGGCAATCACTGCAGAGGAAAGGACCTTGCCAAGGCTTGCTGCAGGTGGAGAAAATGGAGCCAGCATGGACTGAGATGCCTTCATTTGCAGCAAGGTCAACTTGACATATAGCACAGTTGAAACCAGAGGCTGATTGAGCAGAGGAATCATCGTTTCCCAATCTGAAAGCCAAAAGAGCATGAAATACATTAAGATCCATTAACAAGATTTAAGCAAAAACAGGTGGCACATGTGACTGTGAAGAGAGGCATAATGAGTATACTTGACAGAGTACAAAATAAAAAGAGTATTCTGACTATAAAGAACTTAATTTTACGCAAATAGCCTGTTTGGCACAAGGTTCTGTGTAGTTAGTGGTCACAAGTTTGGGAAAGCATGGAATGTCCCATGTTATCATCAACGATAATGTATACAGTAATAGTTGGGTAGTATATTCATAAAGTTGATACATTGGATTTTATCATGCAGAATTACATACATTCAATACCATAGCACAAAAAAAACTAGAAAGTGAGATCAAAACATGATTACTAAATGTGTGAAATAAAAATAAAAAAATGCAGACCCCTGAATGACATAATATCCTATTAAAAAGACCCTATCCCTGCCCTCTTTGCACTCTCACCATACACAGTCAATGCCATAACACCCACCACGACTAGAACCAGCCACGGACTATCCAACTAGCCACCTCAACTGAAATAAATTAATATCAAAAGATTCAGAACGAAAATCATTAATTGTCCATAAATTCGTCAAAGAATGATACAGAAAAACACTAGGAATACCAACTACAAAAATAGACCTCATAATAATCAACTTAGCCCTTCCCAACCAACCATGCATGGTGTTCTTCCATCATTGTTACCTTAGACAGTGAATATCTTATGGACTATGAACAAGAAGTGGGAAAAATTATTCATAAAACAATATCAGCCTAATTAATACAAGGGATGATTTAGCTGCTATGTTCCCCAAAAGGCCAAAACAATAGCTGTTAAGGGGCCATAAACAACAGGAATATTCAAGTACCTAAAAGAGTTAGGTACATCAGACTGATTATGTTGGTAGTAAAGTCTTATAGCTTCTCATGTGCTAACAGATTGAAAAGTGCCTCACACCTTCTCTGAAAGCACATCCTCTAAATTATCCTCAATTTCAGCATATACGTCAATTTTGGTTTCACACTCTAGTCAAGACAGAGAGAACTGTCAACACATTATATGCTCTGCCAATGTACATTTCACTCAATCGACACAAATCACTTTAAAGGGTCAATTAAAAGTTGCTAGAAAAATTGCAGCCAAAAAAAAAAAACATGAAGATTGTGCAGCTAGGATAAAAGGAAAGAAAGACGTTTGTATATGAGAGCACTAGAGCAAGAAAATTGGATTGCTTTAAGCTGACATTTTGGAAAGAAAGTTTTCCTGAAGCAGAAAGATAGGAATGCGAAACCACTGAAAGGAAAATCAAACACGGCCAAAGAATACCTAGTACATCAGGTTGGATAAATTCATGGGAGAAGTAGATGATCCATCTTTCTTAATTATTATGCTCCCAGTTATATTATGGTAGCACCAAATGCCATGATTTGAAGCATTGTTCAAGCCAAATAAATCAAGCTTGAATCCAAACTTGTAAATGCCTTAAAGCCAACCACCAGTCCAACTCCTTTCCTCCCCCCGAACAAAAGAGACAAAAAAGCCAGTGAAGAGTCAGTTAAGGATGGCAAATACAGCAGAGCAAGAGCTGATCCTACACAGAAAATCTATTGCACCATTACATGACTACAGGAAGGCACAACTTGCCTAATTGGCCATGCAATGAATTTTTTTCTTCTTGGATGCCAAAAGAATAGAGGCTAGCAATTTAAATAAAAAGTAAGCCTAATTCACAGAAAGAACAAAAAATATTAATACATTTCAACCATCTTCATCCTATATACCATTTAATTAATAAGAAATTCTACCTTCACCTCCCACCAACTAATCTTAATACTTAACAAGTTAACATTCATTCCAACAACAATACATGATGCTTAGTTCCCAGAAAAAATGCAACCATGTATTATATTATATAATCATCATGGGCTGAACTCATTTGAGAAAAAAATAAAATAAAATAAAAAAAATCTAGCAATTTCTCAGTAAGATACCTACCATAAATAATTCAAGGGCATTACCAATGATAAAACCCAATTACTAAGAGCACTAAGAATTCATTATGTTCACTGGATTTTCCCTCATCTAAACTTACTGGACTTATTGGCCCTTCTACTAATCTATTTTTAATTATTTCATAAGATTAATGATATAAAATTAAGCATAAATTAATTTGTAGCAATTAGCATTACTCGTATTGTTAAATTAATCTTAGAATGATTATAAAAAAATACTAGGATTCGGTTGATTAAAGGTGAATATAAAAAACAAGACAGTGGAGTAACTGGAGTTTGTTTATTTGATTAATAATGAATAAAGAAAATAAGACAATGGTTTGTTTTATTAAAAATGAATAAAGAAATAATTAAAGGTGAATAGGGACTTCTATTTAGGGCAATGTTTTTGGGTTAAATGAGACTTTAATATGGGATAGAGAGATTATTACTTATGTTTGTTAAAAACTATTGACAAGGGTTAAATGGCAATTATTGATAGCCATTATATTTCCTGAATTTATTTTAAAAGGTGCATAAATAAATAAGTCACCACTACAGAAAACTAATTTGCCTAAACATCAAAATTGAAAGTAAATTCTTCTGTGAAGCCACTGAGGACCTAACAAAAGATTAAATCCTTGATAAGACAAAGAAAAACAATTAATGGAATATCTACCATCTCTTTTGTCCCAATAAGTAATCAACTCTATGCTAATTCCATATTCACCTTGTGTTAAATTTTTGAAACAATATGAAATGGGCATGGGCAACCCGAATAAGGAGGAGGAGAGTTTGGTCCACAAACAAGGCTTTGGAGCTTCCATACTAAAACCAATTGGCAATAGTAGGAGGTACTCCTCTACCTTATAAAGTGAAACCATCTCTCCTCTTTCTCCAATGTGGGACACTCATAAATGGGCTACAATGGGTTTCAACACTCCCCCTCACTTATGAGTGTCTTTAGAACTTCAGAGCTAACTGGATAAGGCCAAATCAATAATCCTCTTAGGGGCTGGACATCCTGTCGAGGTAAACCCTTATCCAGTAGCGATTAAATACCCAGTTTTAGAAGAGACCCACAACCTGGGCTCTGATACCATGTTAAATTTTTGAAACAATATGAAATGGGCCTGGGCAACCCGAATAAGGAGGATGAGAGTTTGGTCTACAAACAAGGCTTTGGAACTTCCATACTAAAACCAATTGGCAATAGTAGGAGGTACTCCTCCACCTTATAAAGTGAAACCATCTCTCCTCTTTCTCCAATGTGGGACACTCATAAGTGGGCTACAATGGGTTTCAACACCTTGATTTGAACTAACCTGTCTAAATGTTTAAGAGTTTATTTTTTATTACTAAACAGTAATCTAATCACATTATGAAGAGGATCTATAGAGCTCTAGTCCAACAGGGTCACTTTCACCTAGTTCTCCACCAACAAACCTAATTGGCATAACAACACTACACATTTAAACATAGCATGACAGCAATTCAAGTTCAGTGGAATGGGAAGTATCAGTGATCACTTTTCTGCATACGGGAGGCACCCAAGTCAAATTACATCCAAAAAATCATATATCATTGAAAAGTTTGCAATCAAGCTGTTAAGAGACTATTGAAGAAGTAAAAAAAAACACAACGTAAGAAATCCAATTTTAAAATGTAGTATAAAGGATCAATCCTGTACAAATGCACACTTTTTAAACTTGAATTACCAGTGTTACATCACGAATTCATGGTATAGCAGATACAGGGTAAAAAAAATCAATGTAGCCAATCAATTTACATGAACTACATCTTAGGATGCTAAATATTATCTAACCTTACTCGAGAACTAGTAGATCAATTGTTGAACACACTACTTCACATTTACCTTGTTAAAGTTAAACCGCCAAAGTTTAAACAAGCTTACTGCTAGGAATCGACATGCTTTCTAACATGATTACAGCACTAAAAATGGCAGAAATTAAGAAGAAAGATGATGATTGTAGTATTAATATGAGAATTACACTAGCTCGGACGATAATTCCACTTTCGAGAGGTGAATGCTCTACTTCTCATTTAACTTGTTAAAGTTAAACCACCAAAGTTTAAACAAGCTTACCTAAGAAAAAAAAAAAAAAAAAAAACTCAAGGACAAATAAAATACTGACCTTTCTGCAAGCATAGCTGATCCTTCTTCAAATAGCTCTTCCACGATAATTAAAGGTGATAACTTCTTCGATGATTTGTTTGTATAGTTAAGGAGCTTCTTCCAGAAATATAAAGCTTTAAGTTTGTTCTGCTTTTTAGGAGGTGGCAATAGTGTTACATCATTTTCAGGTGGGATTATGTCAACAACTACGCACGTTGTGTCATCCTTGAGTCCCTTTGTCCTTAGGGTTTCCTATTCACCAATCATGAGAAAAAAGCACATAAATGACAGTAATATCAACATTTTAGGTCATCAAGTCATCTGGATGATTGCCATCTTTTATTCTTGTGTAGATACAATATCCTCAAGGAGATAAATTATGATCATGCATATTGAAGGTCCGGGCTTTAAGGTGGATTCTAACAAAAATGCATGCTTCTCAAGTAAACTGAGAAAATGAAGCATGTACTTGCATAAGAAGTTGCATTACCTTGACAACTTGCCTGGCAGCAAGATCAGCTGGCAAACCACGACATGATTTTGCAGCCATCTCTGATGATAAAGCATCCCAAACGCCATCTGATGCAATTATGAGCCTCCCACCACAATTTGATAGCTTTAATTCAACAATAATTATTTAATAAGACACAAACTTACTAGGCTATCAAACAAAAACTATTTTTCAACAACAAAAAAAAAAATTTAAAAAAAAGTGATGAAGATACCTTAACTTGTTTGACATGTGGAATTGGAACTATGAATTCTCCCACATCCACATCTCCAATTGACCTAGAAAGGCACAAGCCCCCTGGCCAGCAACGGAGAGGCCCAATCTGTACAAAGTAAGTATACTTGTCAAGGCAAGATATTTGATTTGAAAAAAAGTTCAGCGTAAGTATCAACAGAAGCACAAAAGAGATCTCAGTAGACTGCACGAGGATGACATCTCACCTCTACACCTCCAACAATGCTTAGCCTCCCAACTTCACCACCACTAGCTATTACACGCTGCCTCCTGCAGTTAAATTTACAGTTATATTTTGTATGCAGCTAAGCAATATAATTAAGTAGTAAGAAAATGTTTTAAAAAAACAAAATAGAATAAATTTACAATTATATAATGAAAAAAAAAAAAGAAATAATAGTTGTAAATAAAATAGATTTAAAGGATAGAAACATACTCTTCCTCATTGTCTTCCAGCCTATGGTCAACAGATAAATCTGAAACTGCACCTCCCTGTATATCTAATACACAGCGGGAATCACCAACACATGCAACAGTAACTGTCCATCTGTCTACAATTACGAAAGTGGCTGTGGTTCCTGAAGTTTTCCCTGATAACAAAGTGAAGATGAAATCACTTCAGACACCCGGAATAAAGCATCCATTCATTCACCAATCAGTGGTGCACCTAAAATTACAGAATATAAGGAGGCTTAACTACCTTTAAGCTGGAATTCCTTGTCAGTTTTGACAAATCCAGCGACTAGTGCTCTAGGTAAGGCATGAAGCCATTCATCACGACCAAGCTCTCGAGGCATCGCAGCTAACACATGATTCAGTAAGTTATCCCTAGCGTATATAGCAGCAGCATTTCCATGATGCCCATCAAAAATCTGTATATCAGCCAAGAGCAAAAAGAGATTAAAAATTTGACAATTCTTAGAAAATGACTGAACATGCCCTATACTAGCATAAATTCAGATTGTGATTAAAAAAAATGCAGCCAAAATTGAAAAATTATTCCTAACTAGTTAAATTCAGAATGGAACTAGTGAACATATAGATCTGGAATCAGTCAGATTGTTACAAATCCCTATTACATATAATCTTGAGACTAGATCAACACACATCAAAATCCCCAACAAATTAAGCATCTATCTAAAAAGGCCCATCCAGAATCATTCTATTTTATTTATTTTTATTATTATCTTTTTTGGTTACATCACTCTATTATTAGCAATTATTATTCGGAGAATTATATAACCATAAACAAAAAGAATCAAAACAATAAATTAAAAATAATAACAGCCATAACACTAGCATTAATACATGAAGATTGAACAATTAAAATGAAGCAAAAACAACAATAAATTACAATTGTATACAACAAAAACCCAAAAACAGCAAAAAATTAAAAAAACAAAGGACCCAATTGCTAAAAAAAAAAAACTGTTTATACAATTATACTCAAATCCAAAACAAAAATGTAAATCAAAATAAAGTTAGATCACATACAGCAAAAACTGAAAATGTTGAAGCAGAATTGCCAGGAACTCTCTGACAATCAGTTTTAACCAAGTAAAAATCCTCCCCTTTCTTAGCTTTCTCAGCATATCCATAGCTAACAGATGGTTTTTCCATCTTCTCACTCTTCAATTCTCTACTAATTAATGCAGCTAGTGGTATGAGTTCATGCTGTTGATTATTCTGTCTTCTCGTATCTTCTCTTGTCGCCATTTTCAGCCAAACAACCCCTTCAAATTCCTCAATTAAAATTCACCGATTTTTCTTCTTTCTTCTACCAATCATATGATGAAAATCAAAATATAGGTTGTACCTACCAAATTGAATTTTCAGGAGATCTGAAAAAACCCAGAAATTATACCATAGGATTCAGAATCAAAAACCCATAAATAATATCATATGATTCAGAATCCAAAACCCAGAAATTAATATGTGATTCAGAATCAAAAACCCAGAAATCACAATATGATTTAGAATCAAAAACCCAGAAATTTTCAGAACCAAAAATCCCAGAAATTATATCATATGATTCAGAATAAATAAATAAATAATCCAGAAAAATGCAGAAAATAAGAGGATAACATAAATTGGGGGAGTAATAAAATTACCCGCCAACAAAATGAGGAAGACAGGAGTCAGAAATTAGATCTGAAAATGACTGAAGTCGACAAAAAAGACAAAGTGCAAGTGATGAAGAAGAGAAAAGGGGGAGAAAATCGACACGGCAAGGATACGCGGAATTGATTATCTTATACCAAATATCAACACCCAAATTATGAACTGTAAAATGAGGCCACCAAAATTAAAATTAAAAACAACCCAATTGCAATAATTAAGAATTGATTGAAGTGAAATAGCTGAGAAAGTGTAATGGGTTGTGATTAAAATAATTCAAGTAAAAGGGGAAGACTTTGTTGAGAAATGAGGATTATTTAAGAAGGATAAAAAAAGGTGCGACTTTTTTGGGTGTTTTTGCATGCAGCTAAAAGGAGGATGGTGAAATGGAGGGATGAGATAGTCTGAAAATATTTAGGAGAGTGGAATTTTGACACTCTTTTGGACTCACTTGCTGTAATAAAGTAATATGGTATGATACTATGATATATCCTTTTGTAATGAAAACCATGGACAAGATTTGGAAGAGATGAGACTCATGAGAGGATCATAGAATAGTTGGTTAGTTGTCCGAATTTTCAAGGGAGGATGTAATTAGATTTCACTTGATTAATTTTTTTTTTTCTGTTAAAAGTACTTTTATATATTTCAGTTCTCAAATAGTCTTAAGGTTTATTCCCATTTACTGAACTGAGTTGAAATGAATATTTTATGAGAGAAGGAAATTAGGAGCTAAACTGAACTGAACTATTTAGAATTGAACTGAACTGAACTGAACTATTTAGAATTGAACTGAACTGAACTGAACTAAGATGAAGTGAACAGGCTCTTAAGCCTTGTTTGGTTGCACTTCAATAATAAGGGAAATACAAATTCATGGGAAATGACTTTAAAGGTGGTTGTTTGGTTAAAATTTAGAAGTAGAAATGTGGGAAGTGGAGGTTCATGAGGAATTTGGAATTCCTACAAACATAGGAATTAATTTTCCACATTCTACCTTGGTCACTCAAACTTCCCACATTTATTTTTGGATGAAATTAAATTATTGTCCTCAAAATTTTAAAACAGTAGTTAAAGTTATACGATTAATAATAAATGGGTATCACACAAAGTTAGCCAAACAAAACATAGAAAGTTAATTCATGGGAAATTCAATTTCTTATATACCAAACACAATTTTAGAATTTCATAGGCAATAAAATTTCTCATACGTTGTAACTACCTATAGCCATTTAATTCTCCAATGCAGCCAAACGAGGCCTTAGCTTAGACATATCAAAGAGGTTCATTTCATATGAGTTGAGTGGAAAATTACAATAGTTGGTATTGATACGTTAAAAAAATAATAAAAAAAAAAAGTAACAATCACAATTATTGAAATTTTAGTGAATGAAACATACTCATTAAATGAAAGATGAGAAATGAGAGAGAGCAAAACATCTAAAAAAAAAAAAAGAAATCTCAATGGTCATTAATATTTTTAATTTCTCAATGGTAAACACTAAAATATCGAATTATCTTTAATAATCTATAATTTGTAGAACTAATATAGTGCTAACATTAGTTAAGCATTTTAAGGAAATACTCCCTCTGTCCCTTATGGCCAATTTGAAGTATCAAAATAATAGTCTCATTTGCTTTTTTTTCAAGTATTATTAATATTAGTTTTTTTACCCAAATTCCCTCCAATTTGCAACTATATTTGTGCAACTTTAACTTTTCCATGTAAATTTTGTTTTTCAATATACTTTTATTACTTTTTCTCTCTACTTTTTTTGCATACCTAATGTTAATTTAACTTTCCAATGTACTTTAACTACACCCTTCGTCCCTTCATTAAAAGTCTATTTCTATTATTTATTACTCACATAATAAAGAGAAATAGACTTCTAATAAACGGACAGAGTAAGTAGTTATTACTTATGTTTATTAATTCCCGTGAAAATTGTCCATCAAGGCCTATTATTAAGGGACGGATAGAGTATTAACTTTGATTACTGTTTTAAAAGGGAGAAAAAAGTGATGCCTAAAATACCCCTATTTAAAAAAAAAAAAAAAAAAAAAAAAAAAAAAAAACCACAACTCACTTCTTCCCCCTTCCCCTAACCCAGCCCCTGCTTACCCACGACCCCGATGTCGCCGTCACCCCCACCGGTCATTTCTTCTCTCTCTTTTCACAGCGCCAGTGTCTCTATCACCACCTTGACCACCACCCTTCCGCCTAGTTGAAACCACCACCCAATTCCCCTGCTCCCGGCCAAAATCCTAACAAACCCATCAGCTGAAACCGATGCAAAAACCATAACAATACTCGAAATTTTTATATCCATTAAAAAGAGATTTGAGCTCAACATAGTTGGAATTTGAATTTATGTGCAAGATTCGAAGGTCATCGGAGGAAGTAGCGAGATAATCGGGTTTGGAGCAACCGAGTTGAACGACGATGCAATTTTTGGAGTGTTCAAGGAGGAAGACAATTGCGAGATGGTTTCGAGTAAGGGGTTGTGGGTTTCGGGTTAGCCAGTTTTAGTCAGTAGGGGGTTGAACGGAAAATGGAGTGGAAAGGGAGGGGAATGGGGAGAGGAAGGTGGCTAGGGGAGGGAGATTAGGTGGTTGGGTCGCGCGACAGAGGAAGGGGATTGGGTGGTTAAGATCGGCGGACGGCACCGATGAGGGTTGTTTTAAGGGATTTCATAGGAGAGGAAAGGAGATCAGTGGTTCATAAGGAGGAGAGACGCCACAAGGGGATGGAGAAGGAGAGTCGGCGACGGAGGAGCTGAGGGTGGCCTGGGCACGGCCGGGTGCGGGAGGCAAGGTGGTTGGGGCTGGGGGAGTGGCTGGGGCTATTGGTGGTTTTTTTTTTTTAAAAAATATTTTAAATAATTTAATTATTAAAAAAAAAATTGATTCTCATAATCTCACCTTTTACCGGTTCGCTGTTAATAATCCCACTTTTGGATTATTATTTAATAATCCCACCTAGGAAATCTTCTTCTATTGGCTCCTTTTGACCGATAAATTGAACATTAGGAGGGATATTATGAAAGGGAGACACCTTTTGGCCTCGGGATCAAGAATTGGGATTGGGGATGGTAAATCCACCTCTCTTTGGTTCCACCATTGGGTCGGGGATAAGCCCTTATATCTTTATTTGGATAATGATGTTCCCCCTTCAAAAGCTTATTGGTTTGTTTGTGATATAATTAGAAATGGTGATTGGTTTTTGGATGGTATTAAGCATGTCATTCCTGAGTTCATTGTTGAGTTAATCTTAGCTACGCCCCTCTCTAAGCGGGGTAATATGGAAGATTATATCACTTGGACCCTTTCAAGCGATGGTGCTTTTAATATCAAATCTGCTTATCATCATTTAATTAAGAATAGTGTTTCCGTGTCTTCTTTCTGTCAGTCTTGGAATGGAATTTGGAAAATAGGTGCTCCTTCAAAGTATAAAATGCTCTTGTGGAATTGTATGCATACCATTCTTCCTGTGGCCCAAAAAATTTCAGTTTTCCTCCCCTTCGTGAGTCCCATGTGTGCTAGATGTGATATGTATGAAGAGTCTCATATTCATCTTTTTAGAGATTGTATTTCTTATCATATTCTTTGGAATGATATTTGCTCTAAAATACATTTGCCTAACAATTTCAATTTTTAGAAATTTATGAATCTTGAATGGGTGGATTGGTTGAATTACAATCTGAATTTTGATGGAAAATGGTCTTTGCTATTGCCTTTTGGCATTTGTGGAGAAATAGGAACATCACTGTTTTTGAGAAGAAAATGTATCATGCTCATGCTATCTTTGCTCGGTTTTTCAATGATTACCATTGTACTAACATGATTATGCAGTGATAGATATTATATTTATGATAATATTTGTAGCAGATTAGGATATATTAAATGTATATTTTGTATGCTTATCGTAACGAGGATTCCTAATGTAATTAGGCCTAGCGTTGTAAACTCTATATATTTTGATCAATGGTACACACTCCAGATTGAGGAGTTTTCCCGAAATCTAACATGGTATCACAGCTTAGGTTTCAATCCTAGGAATTTTTTTTTTTCACCGCTTCCGTACTTTCTTCTTCTTTAGCAGCAACAACACCGCTCTACTTCCATGGCCAAATACGTGGAAACCCCGCCACCTCCTCCACCTCCGGCCAATGAATTTCACCCTGCCCTTACAGTTAACAACATTAAGAATGCTATTCCCCTAATTCTCAATTATGAGAATGTGCAGTACTCTAATTGGGTTGAATTATTTGAAAATCATGCTTGTGCTTACAATGTTCTTGATCACATCGACTTAAAGACGCCTCGACCTTCTGATATTTCGGACCCCTTATGGACAAGACTTGATGCCATTGTCAAACAATGGATTTATGGGACTATTTCCGTCGATCTTTTAACAACGATCTTATCACTGAAGGCCACAACACAGCAAATATGGGATCGCATCAAGGAAATCTTTCAAGACAATAAAAGCACAAGAGCGGTGTACCTTGAAAATCAATTCAATGCTATTCATGTTGAAAGTTTTCCCAATGTTACTGCTTATTGCCAACAATTGAAAAGCATCTCCGATCAACTTGCGAATGTAGATCAACCAGTTTCAGATCAGAAACTTGTCCTTCGATTGGTGGCCGGATTGTCAAAATCCGATTACGATACAGTGGCAACCATGATTGCGCAAACCGACCCACTACCGTCTTTTAATAATGCCTGTTCTCGTCTCCTCCTTGAAAAGACACGCCGGAACACCGAGTCTACTCCGGCGCCATCATCGTTTGTTGCACAACAACAGGTTTCGAGTTCTTCTGATTCGGCTCAGCAACAACAACAATCAACCACCGCCGGCAAGGGTGGCGGCGGCGCATGACGGGGACGTAGCAGCGGGGGAAAGGGCCGAGGCAAAGGCCGAGGCCGCGGTGGTCAGGGCCGTGGCAACTCCCCTGGCCAGCAGCAGCAGGGGACGAGTTCTCAGCCGTCTCAACAAAATTGGCAGCCACAACAGCAGGCCAATTCACATGGGCAACAGTGGGCCTCTCAACCTTCTTGGCCCAGTCCTCCTTATTGGCCACAAGGGTGGGCCATCCCACCAGCCCCTTTTCCAACTAATGGGCAGTACCAACCAAGGCCTATTTATGGCCGTGGGTCACCTCAGCAAGCTTATACAGCAGGGCCTCCCTCTTACGGGCCTCCTATGACTCCCACGGAGTTTGGCAGTGCGTACTCCTCGATGAACTTCACACCACCGGACAACGGTTGGTATATGGACTCCGGTGCGACATCTCACATGACCAACAATGCCGGTACACTTCTTCCCCTTTTTAATTTAAGCACTAATAATCATATTTTAGTAGGTAATGGTCATCGCATTCCAATTACTGGTTATGGTCACACAACCCTCCCTAATAATTCCCTAACCTTAAAAAATGTTCTACTTGCACCTCAAATTATTAAGAACCTTATTTCAGTGCGAAAATTTACTTTTGATAATTCGGTGTCTATAGAATTTGACCCTAATGGTTTTTCTGTGAAGGATCTTCGAACGGGGAGGGTAATAATGAGATGCAATAGCACCGGGGAGCTTTATCCAGTCACCTCAAGTCCACCAAGCACATGTCTAGCCACTACTCTCACAGCAGTCACCCCGTGGCATGATCGTTTAGGACATCCCGGGGCTTCTTCTTTAAGTTTTCTTAGGAGCAACAATTTCATCTCTTGTAATAAGGAGCATGACTCCACTTTTTGCAATTCATGTCAATTAGGGAAACATGTTAGGCTACCCTTTTATGATTCAAATAATAATACCTTTTCTACTTTTGACATTATTCATGCCGATTTATGGACATCTCCCATTCGGAGCATTAATGGACATAAATATTATTTAGTTCTTCTTGATGATTTCACTCATTATGTGTGGGCCATACCTTTAGCTCATAAATCTCAAGCCTACCAATCCTTTCTTCATTTTAGACAATATGTGCAAACTCAATTTGAACGTCCTGTTAAATCCTTCCAAAACGATCACGGTCGCGAATTTGACAACGACCCATTCAAAAAAATTTGCCTAGACAATGGTATGGTTTTTAGATTCTCTTGTCCACACACATCTTCTCAAAATGGGAAGGCCGAACGTATGATTCGGACCATAAATAATGTCAACCGCACTCTTTTATTCCATGCCTCATTGCCCCCTTCCTACTGGTCACACGCTCTAGAGACGGCCACTTATCTTCTTAATATTTTGCCCACTAAATCTCTAAAGCATATGACTCCGGATCAGGCTTTGTTTCATAAAAACCCATCCTATGACCACTTACGGGTTTTTGGATGCCTTTGTTTCCCTAATCTTTCTGCTACAGCTCCTCATAAGCTTGCTCCTAGATCTACTCCTTGTGTTTTTTTGGGATATCCCTCTAATCATCGTGGTTATAAATGTCTTGACATTAAAACTCGTAAAGTAATAATTTCTCGCCACGTTACCTTTGATGAGTCCACGTTCCCTTTTAAAAACTTGGAGTATTACACACTTAAAGACTATGAGTTTTTGGGCTTTGATGACACGTCTCCACTACTCACACACCACTACCTGCAACATTACTCTTCACAAACTCATAACCAAGCTGGCCCAAATGCAGGTAGCCCAGTTCGTGTACCCATCCCACAAAACTCCCCTACCCGCACCCCACCTAGGCCCCAGCTGACTTGCGGCCCACATAATCTCTCACCAGCCCACCTGCACACTCCTGGCAGCACCTCTACCAACCCGACCCAACCCTCCACACCTGCCAGCAACCCAATTTCGCCAGCCCAACCTTATACACCACCACCTTTGCGTGGAATTCAACCTCTACAGCCCACACGGCCACTGCCACCTTCCCCTAGAGTTACCCGTAGCCAACGAGGAATTTTTAAGCCCAACCCAAAGTATTGTAACCTCACAGTTCCATCTTTGGGTCCACCTCTTCAAAAATCACCCCTTCCAAAGTCTTATAAACAAGCTTTAAATGACCATAATTGGAATGCGGCGATGAATGATGAGTACAGTGCTTTAATTAAAACTGGGACATGGGAATTGGTGCCTAGGCCTACGGGGGTGAATATTGTTAATTGTATGTGGCTATTTAAGCATAAATACAAGTCTAATGGTGACCTTGAGAGGCACAAAACTCGTCTTGTATGTGATGGCAGGTCGCAGGAAGTTGGTGTGGATTGTGATGAGACTTTCAGTCCGGTAGTTAAACCGGCCACGATTCGTACTGTTCTCAGTTTAGCTTTGGCTAAAAAGTGGTCGATACATCAACTAGATGTCAAAAATGCCTTTTTACATGGTGATTTGCAGGAAACTGTTTATATGCATCAACCTCCGGGCTTTGTCGATCGGAGGGCTCCTACTCATGTTTGTCGGCTCCACAGGGCTCTCTATGGTTTGAAACAAGCTCCCAGAGCTTGGTACCAACGCTTTGCAAATTTTCTTGTCAAATTGGGTTTTGTCATTTCCAAGAGTGACAACTCTCTGTTTACTTTCCGGCAGGGTGATGATATGGCATATTTGCTCTTATATGTTGATGATATTATTTTAGCTACCTCATCTGACAGGTTGCGTACAGGAATTATTTCTCAGTTGCAAACTGAGTTTCCTATGTCTGACTTGGGTCCTTTGAGTTATTTTTTGGGTATTGCGGTGACCCGCAAACCCTCTTATATGCTACTTTCGCAGGAAAAGTATGCACAGGAGATTTTAGAGCATGCAGGTATGGCCTCTTGTAAGCCTGCAGCTACTCCAGTTGACACTAAGTCCAAACTTAGTGCAGATGCAGGGCCACCTTTTCGGGATCCTACATTGTATCGCAGTTTAGCAGGTGCTCTTCAGTATCTCACTTTCACCAGGCCAGATATTTCTTATGCGGTACAACAGGTGTGTCTATTTATGCATGATCCCCGGGAACCTCATTATGAGGCTTTGAAACGCATTCTGCGTTATGTTCAGGGTACCATTGATCACGACTTACATTTATATTCTACTGCTTCCCATCGATTGATTACTTACACTGACGCTGACTGGGGAGGTTGTCCCGATACCCGGCGTTCTACCTCGGGCTATTGTTGTTTCCTTGGGGACAACCTCGTGTCCTGGTCATCTAAGCGTCAGCATACTTTGTCTAAGTCGAGTGCAGAAGCAAAATATCGAGGCGTCGCAAATGTTGTCTCTGAGGCATGTTGGCTTCGTAATTTATTACTTGAGTTACATTGTCCTCTACGGCAGGCTACTATTGTTTATTGTGATAATGTCAGTGCTATCTACCTTTCTGGCAACCCAGTACAACACCAACGCACCAAACATGTGGAGATGAATATTCATTTTGTTCGAGAAAAGGTTGCTTTGGGGGAAGTACGGGTTCTGCATGTTCCTACTAGATATCACTTCGCGGACATTTTCACTAAAGGCCTCCCACGAGATTTATTTCTGGAATTTAGGTCCAGTCTTAGCGTACGTCCTCCTCCCGCTACGACTGCGGGGGTGTGATAGATATTATATTTAGGATAATATTTGTCGCAGATTAGGATATATTAAATGTATATTTTGTATGCTTATCGTAACGAGGATTCCTAATGTAATTAGGCCTAGCGTTGTAAACTCTATATATTTTGATCAATGGTACACACTCCAGATTGAGGAGTTTTCCCGAAATCTAACATGCAGGATAAAGAGAAACGAATTGTTATATCCTCTAGCTCTGAGACTAATCTTCATGAAGCTGATGCTGAGAGCTTCCCTGCTGGCAATGCTGATCCTGCTGCTACTATTATTGCTGCTAATGATGTCTCTGCTACTGCTTGCTCTAAGGGCAGTACTTTGGATAAAGGAAAGGGAGTAGTTAGCTTCTCTTTAGCTAATTCTTCTGTTACTATCTCTACTTCTTCTACTGCTAAAAAGAGTTTTGCTGCTTGTGTTTGCTCTTTGGTTGGAACTAATCCTTCTGGTGGTTCTATTCCTAGAGCTCCTTTTCTCACCCTCAGATCTGGTCCTCCCTCGAGTGCTGAAGCTCTGCTTTGGATTCCCCCTCCTCCTAGCTACAAAAGAATCCACACTGATGGATCTTGGAGAAGAATTAATGTGGCTGCGGGTGGGTGTGTTATTCGAAATGAGGATGGTTCTTGGTATCTTGGTTTTTCAACCAAATACAACGCTCTCACTGCTCTTGCAGCTGAGCTTTATGTTGTGAAGGATGCGCTTGCTATGGCTGAAACTTTCAAAGTTAAAAAGGTGGAGCTCTACACTGACTGTCTCTCTATCAAAGTCATGCTTGATACAATGAATTTTAATGCTCACCATCAGTTGGCTGCCACCATTAATGATATAGCCATAAGCATTAATAATCTTGAAGATGTGGAGGTGGTGCACATCAGAAGGGATCTTAATATCATAGCCCATAAGCTTGCTGAATTTGGGAATGATATGAGCATAGGACATAAAACTTACTTCTCTGTCCTTGAAAGCGTCAAGGATCTGTATGAAAGGGAGTTGGGGCCTCTTGCTGCTGCGGCTGTTATCAAAGTTCTCCAACCTCTTCTTTTTTTCATGTCATCTCATCTACGTTCTAGGTTGGAGTATCTTATGTAATAGGATTATTTTCTTTCAGTTTGCTTTTTCAATCTCTAGTTTCAGTTTGCTGTTGTGCTTTGTTTGGGCTACCTACATCTATTTTCTTTGTAATATTTCTGATGTAAGGATATCCTTTTATTAATATATTTCCCCTTCTTATGTTAAAAAAAGATAAATTGAACATTAGGTAAATTCTTTCTTTTTTTTTAATTTTAGTGACACATGTCACTAAATAATTGGTCAGAAAGAAAAAGTAAAAAAAAAAT